TTTTTTTTTTTTTTATTCCTCTCTTCGTAGTATTAACATGGCAATTTATGCTCATCATTTTCTATCGGATTTTGAGTTTTAAAGCACTCCAAAATGTTTATAAAATATCATCCAAAGTTAGGAAAATTCTAGCCTTAGAAAGCTCCTTCAATAGCCTTATAGTAGCCTAACTCTTCACGCAAGTAGTCACCGAGGTCGCACACATCTGTTCGATAGTGTCTGAATCGTGTCCAAGAGTTGGCGAGCAATCTTTAGTCTAATCTTCTTTTTTCCTTTAAGCGTGTAGATTCCCGAAGAAGGTAAAGAGTCAATTTTACTCTTTAGTTTAGATTTATTTGAAGATATAAATATATGCTTAAGGTTTGATAAAATATGATATTAAGAGTATGAGATAAAATAAGATGTTTATAGCAAATAAGAAGAAGTTAAGAAAGAATTAAGGTACTCGGTGACCAAGAGTTTTAATTCAGCTAAATTATATTAACTAGAAAGATTCTTAAAGTCTAGTTGAATTGTGCCGAGCCATTTAAGCATAAATGAAATCCTTAGCAGTGTAAAGATTTAGTTAAGATAATGGTTGTCTAAGATAGTAGCTGGCCAACAACTGTAGGTTTTGCCATGGTCGCTACTGCACCATTAGTTGAATACATCAGTTGAGCTGTGAGGGCTCTGTGTTCGAGATAAGTATTTTGGTACGAAATTTTTGGCACAGATAAACCGGAAGGTTGAGTATTTTTCCAAGCCAAGTAAGTTCAATAAGAGTATGTTTAAGTAAAGACTCAATATTTCATGATTTGATTTCATTGCTTCTGATTTAAGTACTAAGTTAAGCAAATTTCTAGTCACCTTTGATTTCATGATTTGATATTAGATGTGATGTGTATTCAGTGTTGGTTTATGAGTAGCACCGTGGTTATATATTTGTGCTAACTCCCCCACAACCAATCTTTCCCCAGGTCATGCTGAGCAGCGTGGAGCGTGAGGAATGGTGGTTTGGTTGATCGTAGTTCTGCTACCGTTTGCATAATAAGTTCAAGAACACAGATATTATGTACAAAGCTTGAACATGCTTTCAAAAATATGTTTTTAATTCCGCTGTGATTTTTAGAAAAGTTATGTATAAACTTATGCATGTGTAGTAACTCAGATATTTACTATAAAATTGACATGCAGGAGTTTTTATACCTTTTGGTATAATATAGCAGTTTACAGACATGGTATCATTCCGAAATAAAGATAAGTACTTTCGAAAAAGGCAGTTCTTTCGATAATAATACGAATTTTTAACTCCGATTGTTAAAGATAATTCGTATAAAGCGGGGTGTTACACATATTCCTAAAACACCTACTATGTAAGTACCATTTACATTCAAGAGGGGTTTCTAGAGACACTTATGTGAATTTTTTACCACCCAGGTTTTCTATTGTTCAATACCCTTCTTTTTAACTTTAGGTTTTAAAACTTTCATGGGAACTTCAAGATGATTCTAGATTCTTACATTCTCTATAAATAAGTCATGCTACATTATGTAGCACTTAGGTCTACTGTGACCAGAGACACCACAATAACGACATAAAGACACAAAATTATTCACATGAATCTTATTATGATTGTTACCATTAGGGAAAGTTTGTTTACTTATAAAGCTAGGAATGACCTTGGAATATATGTCCTGAGTGAGTTTACCTGGAGAACTGGTACCTTCAATACCTCTTTTATTTTGGTAAAGTCGAGCCCAAGATGCTCAAGGTGAGTTGCAAACATGAAGTGTTGGGACTTTCTTCTTTAGTTCCACTGTATCCCAGTCCGTGATAATCATCATGAGATCTTCTAATATCAAGCAGCTTATCCAGATTACCTTCCCTTTGTTCAACTTAGTTAAGATTTCTTATGTACATTCTAGTTTTACAGTTTTATCTCTTAAGTTTCACTCATATTAAAAGGCTCGATCTTTCAGGTTCACATGTTTGTTTGTTCGTTACCAAGAGATTTCTCGAGTAAGAGCAACAACTTCATTGTCCTTGTTTCCCAAGGCTTTATGATAGGCAAAGGGTTTGGTTCTCAATGATTTAATAATCTGATTTTTTGCAACACTTGCATGTTTTGACACTTTCAATTTATTCTCGTGGATAAAAGTTCGAGCATGAGCGCATCATTCAGTTCAACTTCATTTTTATGAGTAAAGGAGGTCGTCGTTTGATTTATTTATACTTAATATTTTTTTAAAAGCTTAACACATATGGGGCAGTACTGATACCGAACTGATGAGCATACGGTAACCGATAATCGGTTACTGATAATAGTGGGTCGGTACGGTTCATATTATTTTCTCATCAATTCGATTTAGTTTTCAGTTTTTGAAATAAAAAAAAAAACCAGCCTTAGCTACATTCGTGTAACCGTCCTACTAGATTCAGCTGTGCAGCTGCTTAACTATTTTTGATAATTGTATAGATTTTATCTAAATATGTGTTTTTATAAAGAGAAAAGTTACATGTACAATAATATAGTACATAGGATAAGAGTATACATAACACTCACATTGAGTGGGATGTACCAAAAATAAAAAGAGTAATGCTATAGGTATATAATATTATACATAGGAGTGTACACAACACTCACATTTAGTGGGACCTGCTAAAATTAAAAAAATCAAATGAACCACACTCTATGTAAGTGTTATGTACACCTCTATTTACATTTATTATGTACTTCTAGCATTTTTCAAATAAAAAATCAAATAGATACCACTCCGTGTTTCTACCATTTTCCTTTTGTAAATTACTACATCCACACGAAAAAAAGGGAGCACCCATTTCACCTGGACGTCCATCCTTGGCACGTGGTATACCATCCGGCCCACATACAGACCAGCACCAATATATCGCCAATTATTTATTTTTTTCGGCCTTATCCACTGCCATGGGTCTGTTTTTTTAACTGATTATT